GCCTGGAGAAGTTTGCCCAACCCCTCCACACTGGCCAGGAAGCAGGATAAAGGTGGCAAATAGGCTGACACAGAGAAAATGGTATCACCCAGTGTCCACCCCCAGGGCTCTGCTTTTGGGGATGAGCTTACATTGGTGATGCAAAACTTCGCAGCCTCAGAGCCCCACTAACAAAGCGCCTTCCCCACTCAGGCTTGTGCCCGGCAGAGATGCAGCCACACCTGGCAGTGTGGCCAACGCGAAGCAAGTGCTCAGGAGGGTCGGTGCCGTATTACCATTGATATTAACAAGAGCAGGAGAGTGAGGACCACAGATTCCTGGGTGCCTTATGGAGACATCAGAGATTTGCAGAGGATGTAACATTCGTGTGTCTGTTCATTCTTTCCTCCTTCAGCCATTTGTTGGTACTCATTTGGTACCAGGCTCTACATGGGCTCTGGGTTCCCCAAATGAAGCCGTCCCAGCACTGGCCATGAGCAGTCCAAGGCCCACGGGTCAACCAGGCCTGGGAGGCTCCATGGAAGGAGAGGCCTTGGGGAGAAGGCAATCCTCTAAGGGAGGGAGGGAGGGATGTCCACAAACCATCCCCTCCCCCAGCCTGAGCCAGCCTGAGATCCAGCGTGTGTGTCCCCTGGGGCGCAGTCCCACACCAGGCTCTCTGACCACTGCAAGGCTGCACACCTGAACCTGACAGAGAAGAGGGCCAGGCCAGAGCCACACCCAGAGCCTCCAGAGGGTTGAGGTTGGGGGTGGACTGGAAACCACCCAAGGCCTATCCAGAACTCCAGGGAAGGTCTCAGAACATACACACTCTCTCTCGCTCATGCTGTCTCTCTTCCTGCCCCCTTTCTGGCCTTCCCTCCTCCCTCTCAACAGATAGGTAGGTAGACAGACAGACAGACAGATGGATAATGTATATGACTATGTAAATAGAGATAGAGAGATAGCATGGAACTCAAAGAAGTTAGGGCTCAGCTTATCTAACTAACTGCCCATTTCACAGATGGGGATACTGAGGACCACAAGGAGGATGAGACTTACTTGCCCCAAGTCACACTCTGGGTCACTGAGAACTGCCACCAGATCAGACCCCATCTCCAGGGATTCCTCCAAGGAAGCCACTTGCCCCCACTCAACTCTGGGCGCTCACTTGTCCATCATTGTGACGAGAACAATGGGGGATGGTGGTCGAGCCCTGGACTAATCCGAGCTGCTGTCCACCTGGACTCCACTCCTGGCTCGGCCCATGGACCGGCCACCTCACACCTCCAACCTCAGCCCCCGCTGTGAAGTGGTCATGTCGCCTACCTCTCAGGTGGCTAGGCTCCCACGGGAGCCCAGGACAGCGTGTGCACGGTGCCAGGCACACAGTAAGGCCTCCCGAGATCACAGGCGCCTTCCCTTCCCACATCACTGGTTGTTTGTTGGACTTTTCTGCATGCAGATTTGAGAATCTGACATTTTCGTTCTGTCTCCTTCAATTCTCCAGCTTCCCTCTTCCGTAGCATCTTCCTGGAGTCCGGAACGCACCCTTTCCTCTGTGTGTGGGGGTTTTGTTCTTCCCCTGTGCATTGTGCTTCCTCTCTCTGTCTCTGTGCGCTTCACCTTCTGTCTGTCCCTCCCTCCCTCTCTATCTCCATCTCTCCCTCTGTCGGCAGCTCCCTCCCCTCATCTCCCGATTCCCAGATTCCCACGTAGAGCAGTCTCATTCACTCGGCTGCCCGAAGTCAGGATCTGTGATGACTCAGAATTGCTGGGTGGAAGTTTACTTCCCCTCAGCGAACACTTTCTACTAGTCAGTTGGGCAACGTGGTTGTGTAAAGCAGCTGTCAGGGGGAAGGTTTACAAGCACAGAGGGAACACGCTGCTCTCCAGTCAGGTGGGGCACTTCTACTCCAGCCTGGGCCGCCCGGGGCAGCGGAAGTACAGCTGGGCCACGAGCAGCCCTGAGGTCTGGCTCAGCTGTGCCGTTTCCTGGCTGGTGAACTTGGGCAAACCATGGTACTTGCCTCCCCTTCCCCAGTTAAATGGGGGTAAGACACTTAACTCCCAGGGTAGCTGTGTTTCCAGCGAGGCGATAACGTGTGCTGAGAAGCTGGCATCACGCTTCGGTCCTCCAGTTTCCCCTTCACCTACCAGCTGCCAGCACTGCATGCCCTTTGGCCTTTGCCCTGAAAACCCTCTGCACGTTCCGCAGATCCGCCCCTCCTCCACTCCAGGCAGGCATTCATGGCCTGCTTAGTATGAGATGCAGTGAATCTTCTGGGTCCTGCCTGCTGCTGCGGCCCTGTGCCCATGCCTCCAGTCGGCAGACCACTTCACCTGAACCTCCAGCCTGTGGGTTATTCAGGGTCTAGGTGCTGTCTCCAAAGGCAAGAGATGTAGGACACTTATAGGAGACTCTTGCGAGAGCCCAGGAGAAAGGTCACAGGGCCTGACCTAGAACGGCGGTGACAGGGACAGAAGCCATGCCCCACAGCAGTGGAAGGGACAGATGGATGGACCAGCATCTTACTGTGGAGTTGATGGGAATGGGTGGAGAAGGAGCCTCTGGAAGCCTGCAACAAGCTGTCTGCAGCCTCCAGGAGCCCTGAGTCTGGTCTGAGAGGCAGAGAGCTGAGGGCCAGCACCTGTCAAAAGCCAGAGGTCTCTGAAGGCCAGGTTCAGGCCCAGGCTGGAGGTTAGCTTTCCAGCCAGCGTGAGATTGCAGAGAGACTACAGTACACAGGGGTCGCACATGGCATTTTCTTTCTCTATGAACCAGGGCCGCTCGGCTGAGGGAGGGGCCTCAGCCAAGCCCATCACTCCATGTGGGTCTGAGGGGACAGGTTCAGGGGCCTCCCCCAACCCCGGCTCCTCCCCGGGGCTGGCAGCTCTGGGTCCCCTGGCAGCCCAGCAAGGAAGGAGACCACTCCTACCCTGGGAACTCAGCCTGGTGCCACCAGTGGGTCCATCCAGCTCTGGGACATCCCCCTCAGGGCTCTCGGGGACCCAGCAACCCCACTGAGTCTGCATGTACTGAGGGTGCCTTGTTCCTGAGTTACAACCTCCAGTCTCACCTGTCCACAGACTCCTTCAGGAAGGGACCTTGCCTTTTCCATCTTCACATCCCAAGTGCCAAGCTCAGAGCCCAAGTGGACAGCAGGTGCCCAGTTATCCTGGCTCCTCTGCTTTCCAGCTGTGTGGCCTTGGGCAAGTGGCTTGAGTTCTCTGCAGCTCAAGTTCATCTGCCGTGAGCAGAGAATAACACCTGTTCCACTTGGGGAATGTGGGAATGAATGAGATCATGGGGAAGAAGCATTTGTGTGCTCACCATCTCTCGAGAGATGGGGAGGGCGCTGGGTAGGCACCTGCAGCTCCGTTTTTCACCTGCTCCCTTCTCGAGGGGGACGAGTGCCCCCCGGAACCTTCCCAATTCAGTTATTTGAGGCTGCAGCTGACACTTCACTCTGCAGCCCAGTTATCTGTTTCCTAGGAAACAAGCAAGAGACATTGACTCTGCAACCACACACACGCATACACACACACACACACACCCGCTGCCACCAAAAGTGACAATTAACAGAAAGACAGTAATGTCAGCAGAAGCTAAAAATAAGTTTACGTGCCTTGTGCTGCTGCTCCCTGCGGCCTGGGCACCTAGGCATGGAGGGACAGGGGCGGCACCCTCTCCGACGCGGCACTGCACTGTGACCTGCGGTGCCTCTTCTGAGTGGGCAGGCTTGGGGGTCCCTCTCTGCACCTCACCACCTGCCTCTCTCCTCCTGGCTTCCCCAGGACCAGACCCCAGAGGCCTCCGAAGGTGGGGCCCCAGCACTTTGCTAGTGCACCCTGTCTCTGACTGAGCCCTCTCCTGGCTTCCCTCTCCGCCCGAGACTGGCACCCCCGACTCTTGTCTGCAGCCTGGAGCAACATGGCCTTCAGACACCCACAGTCTGCATGTCCACTTCCCCGCCTTCATTCACCCACTGACACCTGCCCTTTATCCTGCCAGTGCCTCCCCAGTCTACAGCACCTCCACCCACCTAGTTGCTCAAGCCAGAAACCGGGGGTTGTCCTTCTGGCTCTCCTCCCGCCTCATCCCTCGGCTCAGGCCCTGCCCACCTGCCCAGCCTCGTCTCTGACATCCCTATTCCCATGGCTCGCCCCGCCACCGCCTGACCACGCCGAGCACTTTAGATGTCCATGTTGCTCCCCACATACTTCCGTCAACTGCAATAAGACCTGAACCAGCGAGTGCCCTATCCTCTGGGAAGGCCTCCTGCTTTCCCCGGGCTGAATCCGTGGGTGGCTTTCCCTGGGCCCTTTTTTCTTACCTCCATGACAGTAATGATCATTGTACTGCATTAATTATAGACAACATATGTGCTTACCATGTTTCAGGCTTTGTTCTCAGAGCTTTAGGTGTATTAATTGAAAGAACAGTGTTACAGATGTGTCTCTGTTGTGGGCTCCTCCGCTGCCCCAGGAGCTTGGGGAGCAGGCCCCACATTCGCCCCGGCTCTACATCAGTCATCTACACACAGAGCTGGCTTCCAGTGGGCTCTGCTAGGGCCCATGTCTGTCTGTTCATTGCTCGAACACCAGGACCTAGAAAAACGTGTAGAACATTTTTGTGGAGTGAATTAAATGCATCCTGCACTGAATTGGTGCCCGGTCCCCAAAGGGATGTTCTCTTGGTGTGTTTTCTCTGCCTTTCTCCCAGCATACCTGATGGTTTAAAACTGGCTTTTTTGCAATTTGTTGGCAAATAGGGCCTTGTGTGTTTTGTTTCCTTCTTACAATAGCCTAAGCATAGGTTCTGTTACATCGTACAAAGCCTGCCTTAATCGAGAGTTTGAAACTATTAAATAGAATGGCATTCCGATGATCACGAAGAATGAATCCATGCCTAGCTGATGTGGCAACAAGGCGCTTTGCAAAACAGCCAGACTGATAGCAGGAGACACTGCCAGTTCTGTGGACATGCTGGTAATCAGAGATGTCTCTTCTTGGTGCAGCATTATTTCACAGTCAACTTCAGCCATGAGAACCAGAAAGCCTTGGAGCTGAGGACGGAGGACGCCAAGGATTGTGACGAGTGGGTGGCAGCCATCGCTCATGCCAGGTATGTCTCGCCCACTCCACAGTCCAGGCGGGAGAGATTGAATCCAAGAGCCCTGTCCTGAGCAAAACCAAGTCCCAGGAAAGGAGAAGGAAAGCTGTAAGAAGGGTGTCTTGGCAGGTCCACCTTAGACCCCGGGGCTCTGGGACATGCCTCCCCAGGGTGCACAGGGAGCCAAGTGTCAGGAGTAGCGGCATTGCAGCCTCCCCCCTGCTTCAACCCGACAAGCTCCTTTTTTCACACCAGGGGAACCGAGTACTATTTGGTTGGATTACAGGGTCTTATGGCCACCAGCGTCTGAGACCATCACAATTCCAACCCAGATGCAGCCACTGATTTGCAGGACATGAACTAGTTCTGTCTTTTCCCTGGGCCTTGGTTTTCTCATCTATAGATGGAAATTCTCTAACCCTCTCTGAGCTTGGATGCTCAGGGACTGCAGATCCTCTCTTCCTCTCATTCCCAGCACTGTGTGCCTCTCTCTAGAGGGACTCGCTGGGCTGGGTGGGGAGAAACCTAAGAGGAAAGTATATGCTGCAGAGAAAATGGAGGCTTCCAAGCTGGACTGAGTTGTTCTGGGTCTTGGGGAAACAGTGGGTTTGTGGGTTGGGGTGTGGCCCCAGCCAACGATCCCCTGGCAGAGCTGAGTACTGTCAGGGTACACGGACACCCAGACTCACCCCTCTGAGCAGTAGATCTTTCTGACTGAGTGGATAGTATTATGTTTCTGTGTCTACCTTTCTATAAAATGTAGGCTCCTGGGGGCAGGAACGAAGTGGGATTCTTTGCATCCCCAGGGCCTGATAAACTAATGTGGATTGGAATAATGCAAGGATGAATGAATGGATGAAGGATAGATGCAAGGTTGGGTGTTGAGTTTATGTAGTGTTGAGTTTATATAAGGAAGATGAACAATAGATGAATAGAGGGTAAATGAATGATAAATAGATGAGTGTTAAAACCATATATGGTTGGAGGGATGGATGGATGATGGATAGATGGATAGGGCCCTTGCTTGAGCCTAGGGTCAAGCTAGCTGACCAGACACCCTTTATTATGGCTATAGGACTGACTTTGGCCCTAAGGTCAGGCAGTGTCCATCCCTGTCCTCAAGGAGTGTCCAGTCCAGCTGTGGAACCAAGTTCTCACATTGAACCAATAGAGTCAGGCTCTGAGTGAGGTGCAGGGCAAACAGGGACGGATGCAACACAGGTATTCCCCAGCCTAGTCTGGAAAACATGAGACAGATGTACAAAAAGCTCTGGCGCGTGAAGGCTGTGTGACGTACAAGGAGAGAGACATACTTTCGTCTTCAGGGAAGTGGAGGAATCTGGGGAAGCTGGAAATGGGGTGACATTTGATCTGAGAAGGGTCTTGAGGGCTCATATCTAACGGGTTTAGACAGGAGCTCTTCAGTCCCTCCTCCAGCCCCCCAAAGGCCTTAAATAAAGGCAGTGATACAGGAAAGAGAATTCCAAGAAAAATAAAGAGACAAGTTTGGATGTCAGAAGGTAGATGAGGTTGGACATTGGGCTGGAACCAGATCAGAAAGGTCTTGAATACTCAGCTGAGATGTTTGACCTTTCCTCTGCGAAGAGTAGGGAGCCACTGAAGGTTTTACACCAGGGGAGTAACATGATCAGAGGTACGACTTGGAGTGGATCTTGCTGGCATTGTGGAGAATGGAATCGAGTGGAAGAACCCAGATGCAGGGAGAAGAGCTGGACCTCAGGCTCCCCAGCACCAAACCAGAGCCAGTAGCAGGGTTGTTTTGGGAACCAAATGAAATTATGTCTGCGACGGGGCTTTGTTAAGTGTTGCAGCATTATAGAATTCTAATTTGCTACACATTCTTGTTAACCAGGACACATTGATTTAGAAAGTCAATTCATACAAAAATTTTCCGGAGACAATGAGGTACCACTACCTGTAGAATCTGGAAGGGCTGAATTGGAAAGGACTGACAGCACCAGATATTAGAGATGGGGCCAAGTAACCACAACTCACCCCACGCCGGTGGGAGCACGAAGTGGTTCAGCCACTTTGGAAAACTGTTAGGCACTTCTTTAAGAAGTTCAACATACAGAGTATACCGACTCTATGACCCGGCAGTTCCACTTCTCAGCATTTATCTAAGAGAAATGAAAACCATCAACCAAAGTCTTGTATGCGGATCTCCTTAGCAGCTTGATACACCATAGGAAGCTAGAAATAGCCAAGGTGTCCATCAGCAGGCAGATGCAGAAAGGAACCTTGTTGCCTCTGTGCGATGGGATACCACTCAGCAATAAAAAGGAATTCATGACAAATACGTGTAACAAAACAGATGGATTTTATCGTCGATATGCTGAGTAAGAGCCCAACACGAAATAGGACACACTGTCCGATTCCTGTTATATGAGATTCTGAACCAGGTGAAACTAAACTGGGGTGATAGAAATCCAAACAGTAGCTGTTCGGGGGTGGGGATAGACTGTGAAGGGGCACGAGGGAACTTTATCTTTATCTCAGTTAGGGTGTAGGCATTTATCAAAACCAGCCGAACTGTGCATTTGAGGTCTGTGCTTTCCATCATATGGACATTAAACCTCAAATTTTAAAAATGAATTATATCAGTGAGAGAGAATGTTGTAGCTCTCTATTGCTCCACGACAAATGATCACAAACGAAGCAGCTTAAAAGAACACGCATTTGCCATCCCACAGCTCCCCGGGTCAGGAGTCTGGGCCCGGGTGCAGTCTCTGCTTCGGGTCTCACAGGCTGAAGTCAAGGAATCAGCCAGGCTGGCCTCTTAACCTCAAGGTTCTGGAGAAGTCTCTGCTTCCAGGCTCATTCCTATTGTTGGCAAGATTCAGTTCCTTGTAGGGCTGCAGTCCCTGTTTCCCTGCTGGCTGTCAACCAGGGATGGCTCTCAGCTCCACGAGGTCACTTGCATTCCTTGCTGTGTGGCCCCCTCTACCCTGAAGCCTGGTTCGTCAAATTTTTCTCCAGCCGCAACTCTCCAACCTCCTCTTCGGTGGCCAGCCAGAGAAAACTACCCATTTTAAAAGGCTCGTATGAAAGGGGGAGGGTAGAGCTCAGTGGTAGAGTGTGTGCTTAGCATGCACGAGGTCCTGGGTTCAATCCCCAGTACTTCCATTAAAATAAATTAAATAAATAAGTAAATAAAATCTAATTACCTCCCCTTCTCCCCAAATAAATAAACAAAATTTTAAAAGGTTCATATGATTAGGTCCAGCCCACTTAGCTAATCTGCCTATCAGCTAAGCCATACAGCATAACCTAGCAACAGGAGTGAAAACTTACCACATTTATATTATGCAGGGCCTGCAAACCAGGGCAGGAAATCTTGGAACTATCTCAGAATTCTGTCACAGAGAAGACATAATTCTGTAAGTAACTCACTAAATTAGAGGTTGGTTCCAAGTAGCCAATAAATTGCTAATCACTTAGTTGACAGAAGTGCTGCCAAGCCCACGCAGGCCTCCAGCAGCCTGACAGCGAGTGTTCGCATCTGCGGGGACCTCTGTCCACCGTACCGTCCACTAGGGGCTGCAAGCTCTTTCACACAGTGTGTTGTTTGCTCCTGATGACAACCCAGTGAGTGGGTCCCTTCAGCCCCACTTGACAGATGAAGCCAGTGAGATTCCGTGGCACACAGAGGGTAGGCTCCTGAGTGGAACTTGGGGTGCCCCAGATCCTGGCTCCCAGCTTTGGGCTCTGTGACTCCCAACAAACTAGAAACCTGCCCTCCCCAAAAGAGGAGCCGTTGGGCCAAATGGCACCACCTGTCTTTGAACGAAAGCTTCTCCCATCCTTTTGGAAGCCGGGGGAAGGGCCAGTTGTACATGCTGATGGTTTGTCTTCCCTGGTCAAGCCCTGGGGTCTGAGTCAACCCAGGGGCCTCAGAGGAACATCCCCCTTTTGGCCTCGGACTGGGGCAGAGGTCACAGCGATGGTCACTGGTAAGGGAAACAGAGCCACCTCCCCTAGAACAGTCACCACCAGCCAGTCTGGCTCACGCTGGTCTTGTTAGACAGCTCCTGGGCCCACATGAGCCACAGACTCTTCCCTGGGAAGCTGGCTGTGTGACCAAAGAGGGGACGGTAGACTACAAGCGTTCTTTAGCCTCAGCTCATCGCATACATCACGAGTGTATGTGCGTGTGTGTGTCGGGGGACAGACTGGCTCTCTTCCACAGTGAGAACGAGTAGTGGGTATTCTTGCATGTGCCTGATTTAGTTTTTATTTACATACACATAGTAGATACATTCTGTAGAGGAGAATAAGCACTGTTGTGTATGAATAGGGGTAGGGACGCCATGTGCTCGCCCACTGTATGCATAATATTCTAGTACTGCGGGATGCCTCTGTGGTATGTGTGTACACAGCAGGCAGTGTACAGAATGTAACACGGAATGTGACTTACGGTCTGCATCTCAGTGAGGCCTGCGTGCCCAGCTAGCCGGCCGCGCGGGAGAGTGAAGACCTGCGTCTTCAGGGGCTTGCGCCCCATTCCAGCTCCAGCTGTGATGCTCACTGACTGTTGTTTGAGGCCTGAGTTTCCGTTTATAGAATGAGACCATTGGCCTTTCTTGATGCCTGAGTTTCCTTCCAGCTCCAAGAGTCTGTGAGTCTGTAAAGACGGGGCTGCACAAGGAGGTGCTCATTAAACCCTGATTGATGAGAGGGAGGAGGGGAAGGAGAAGCGGGGGGAGCAGGGGAAGGAGTGGGGAAGGGAGGGAGGAAGAGCGGGAGGGTGAAGGGAAGAAAGGGAGGCAGAGCTGGATCAAATCGTCCTGCAGATAAAACCCTGACTCCTGGTTCTGAAGCACCAGGCTTCAGAGCGCCTTCACTCAGCAAACTAATGAAGGCCCTGGATTTTCGCACCCCTGGAGTGGGGAGAGGTGTGGGGATGTGAAAACGGTTTCCTTCATGCTCTCAGCTGAATTTCCTTTGCAAGTAAAGACAATTCAGCCTCTTGGGAAATTCGGAAAATTTTAAAACCTGATATTCTAGTTTAAATTCATTTTAATAAGAGAAGCACAAAATCCTCATTTTAATCAAGTAGTATTACAAACCAAAGAATTCTCTCTTAGAGCCTGTTATTTTTAGAAGCGGGTCGGGGAGCAAGACGGTAGCTCTGATCTGTG